TCTGTAAGATGGGGACTTTTGTTAGCTCCATTTCACATATGATGATGCTCAGAAAGGGTAAGCAACTTCCTCACGGTCACGCCACTAATAAGTGGTAGAACTAGGATTCAAACCCAGGCAATCTGGTTCTAGCATCCATGCTCTTAACCACCATGGCATATTGATAAATTGTTCAACCAGAGTTGTCAATGTATAAGAATCACATAATGATTAACGATGCAATACACAACTTGTGTCAGTTCTTTTAGTGTCCTTGATTTTCATTTTTCTCTCTACTCCTTATTGTCCCATTAACTTCATTACTAAAAATAAATAACGAAGAAGGAAAAGGACAAAATTATCTGGAGGTGATTTTGGCAACAAGTTGGGAACATTGCTTAGAGCGGGGGCTCTTCAGACATCTAACTCTGAAATCATCTACACACATTAGTGTGAATGAGCTTATTTGCATTTTTCTGAGAAGCTCTATAATAGCTTTCTATGCCTTCCTTCAGACCTGTGACATAAAAAGAACCACCTAAAGAAAGAGAAAAACAATAAGCCAATTAGCCTACTGGAAGCCAGCCAAACATTGGACACTTCTATATTTTATTGTTAAAAAATAAAATCCATAAATGCTGTGGAGCCATTAATAATAGTTACAACAACCCTGTGATGACACAGAAAATATTGATGCTGTAATGCTAATAACAATACAAAAGTGTTATGTCTACTCCACCTCTTCATCTGATTCTCAATCCATGCATATTTCACTTCCTTTCCTCCACAATGGACCCTATTTGTCAAGTGACCTTCATCTTGTCAGATCCAGCAGCTACTTCTCTGTCCGCTTTCAGTATAGTTGGCTACTGGCTCTGTTTCCAGGCCAAGACTAGCCTGTTTCTATCTCACTGACTCTTTCCTAGTCACCTCCTGGCCACTGCTAATTATTGGAGTACTCTGGGGTTCAACTTGGGTCCTCTTCTCTTCTTCATCCTCCTTTTCATCACTCTCTCCCTAAGTGATCTCACCAGTTCCATAGCTTTAAGTACTTCATACGTTCTGTAGCTAAGTGTTTATAGGCATTTAATTCACACCTCCAGACCTGACCTTTACACTAAACCCTAAGCTTAATGTAATCAATTGTTTACTTAACATCTTACCTTGGCTATCTAAGATGTAAGCACCTCAGACTAAAATTTCCCAACAGAATTATTATTATTATTAATATTATTGTCTGTCTTGTTTAGCTCACAGAACACTGCATGGCCCATCGTAGATTCTCAAGACATGTTTGTTGAATATATTTATTTCCACACAACTGTTTATACAATTATGTTTAACATGACATTAGAGTGGTGGGGAAAAAACCAAAATATTAACTGGTTATGCATGAAATTATAAGACTTTTCTTTAAAAGTCTTTCAATTTTATTTAGAGCATAGTGGTTAAGAACATCAGACTTTGGAGCTGAGTGACCTCTGCTAGTCTGCCACTTACAGCTGCACATGCTTTCTTCATATGCCAAACGGGCTTAAAAATATGTGCATTTCTATTCATGCAGTATTCACAGTGTGCTTGAAGAATGGAGGGAAGAAATAAAATGGAGTCACTATAGTCAAGCTGTTAAATTACTAAAATCAAATAGGTCGAGATGTAAGTAAAACATTGTTTTAACTAGGATGGGAATTTAAATGTTTGAGCTTTCCAGTCATGTGTAAACACCTGGATATACAACAAAGTTACAGATAGCGCGCTGATTACCCTCCTGAGGCACTAAGGAAAGAATGATCATGTATCAAGATCACCTGAGGTCCATTATCCAGACCACGGGTCATCTACAGGATTACCATCTGTATCAACCCAGAGGCTAAGAATCTAGACAAAGATTCCTGACTCATTTGCTCAGTGTACAGGCTTTAATGTAAAATTATGGATGTAAAGAGCGTTGCAGGGTCCAGGATATATAGTAAGCGGTAGTGAGTGTTAGCTGATAATGATGACAAACACGTTTTCTTTTATCATCAAAATGCACATTTTTTTCCCCCTTATAAATCTTTACTGAAGACAGTAATAACGCCACAACCACATAACCGCGACTCTGCCCCTGCGTTTCCATCTGGTTCCCGACCGGCCGCTGCTGCGGGTGTGCGCCTGCTCCGTCCCCTTGTTCCGCCCATGTGACCCTCCCAGGCTCCTCCCCGTCTCCATCATGGCGGCGTCCAGGGGCTCAAGCCGCACGTGAGAAAGAGTTTGGACACCTGGGAATCCTACAGCGCTAGTGTGTCAGCCAATTTCTGCTCCGTACTGTCGGTTGCTTCCCTCCCACCGTTCTCCAAGCCCTCGCGGGCTACTGCCCCTCTGCAATCATGAAGATAAAGCCCGTTTCCCACAAGACCGAGAACACACATCGGGTGAGCGAGGGGGCTTGGGCCGGGAGCCGTGAGTTCCTGGTGTCTCAGCCGTGGGGTTTGCTCTGAGCGGGACTCCTGGGGTTGCAGTGTCCTGGACCAAGCGCCAGTCCCTTGCCGGAGGCTCCGGCAAAAGAGGGAGACTCTCTGGGTGCAGTAAACATGGGGTGGAGAAAATAGTCTGGCAGCAAATTTCGCCCATGGTTTGTGGGGTCTGGCGTGTCTGGAAATCTCCGTTAGTCCGCAGTTAAATTCATTCTCATAGACTTAATTCCTGAACAGCTGTTCCCCCCTGCTATTTTACTTTTAAAGGCCAAATTAGGGGGCGGGCCGGCGGGAGAATGTGAGTGATTTCCAGCAAACGGCTACTACGCCACTTTCTCTGTCCCTTGACAGTTTCTTCGTTATGGTTCAACCGTAGGTTTGCATATGTTTAAAAATACTATTATATTGTTTTGTACACCTGAAACTAAAAAACAACAACAACAAAAAAAAGCCACTATTATTGCAACGACCTAGCCGGATCCCTCTACTTGGAGAGGGACATGAAACCTAACAGTAGATGTAGCAAGGCCACATCTCGAGCTTTCACCTAGGTCCACCATAATCTAGCAAGGAAATTTTATTTGAAATGACATAACTGAAAGGACTTATGCAAACATATTCATAGATGTATTCCATTATCTTCGTATATTAGAGCAGTTCATTTGTTTAAGACTATGCCTTTTGGTTTGTTTTTACACTTTGTGACTCATCAGTGATACCTACTTTTAGTTTCAAAACTCAGTTATATGTTTTATGATTGATTGCAAATACAAGCCTGAAATTGCATGCAAAACATACCGTTATTTGTAATGATAGTACATAAGGAAGCTTATTGAAGCTTTAAAATTTCTACTTTCACAAAGAGATTATTCACGTGATTCTTTTACAGCATTCAAACAGATACTCAAGATGTGATAAGTATTCAATGATGATGTATCTTAAATATGCTCTCCCCTTTCCCACAGTTTCTTACATTTGCCGAACGATTGGGGAATGTGAATATCGATATTATTCACCGGATTGATAGAACGGCGAGCTATGATGAGGTAAGAGAATATTATACTAACCAATCTTCCAAGTATTCATAGGCAGTTTTTTTTTTGGTCTCTCCTCTTAGAAGTAGATTGTTTTTCAAGCCATTCCTTTATGAACATGAAATGCATTAGACCTGTGCTGTCTAATACAATAACCACACATGAAATATTAGATTTAAATTAAAAATTCAGGTGTTCAGTATGGTTATATGTGGCTAGTTGCTACCATATTGGGCAAGTGCAGATAATGGAACATTTCCATCATTGCACAAAGTTCTATTGACTTGATACTCAGGTGGCTCCTGTGATTCCAGCCTCTCCTTTTCCCATGAGCGTTCTGAGCACTGTTGCAGACCATGTTCCTGAAGCTACAATTTTAAAGAGATTCTGAGCAAGCCACTTTCCTAGGGCTTGGTTTCCTAACTACTCCTTTCGAATGCTGCATGAGCATGTAGTTTTGTGAAATGTATCAGTATTGCTGACCTCCACATTTAAGCTCAGTTAATATAGTAGCAGTTTCTGCTAACACCTAAAACTTTCCAATAATTGTGTTTAAAGATGGGTGGGTATTTAAATGGAACTATAATTCACTGGAACTAAATTGTAACATCATATTTAGCCAATGAAGAATAACTGAAAGAAATCAATCAGAACCAAATAATATATTAATATAAAAGGAAGGGGGCTAGAACTACATAATTTCTACTTCCAACTGCTCTCTAACTCAATCATGCCTCTACTCAAAAATCTTGCTTTTCACTGCATCAAGTAATTGTTTCTCTGCTAGCCTTTTAAGGTCCTGTATGACATGCTTTTAGCTTAGGGGTTCAGCTTCAGCTTTTACTGTTTGTCAGTTGGCTCTAGTCGGACTCTGCTCGCTGTCTCTTTGAATGCCTTATCTCCAATGTGTGAGTTAAGTGTGTTAAATGATGTGATCTAGGTAAGCACATAATACTCTGGGAACTCATAGTCAGGGGAGCCTAACCTAAATTCTTTGGGAGTGTAGAATGGGGTGTCAAAAACGATAATGTAGACAAGGTGATACCTGAACGCAGTCTTCTTGTTTGTGTAGATTTTGTGTAGATTTTAGCATGGCAAAGAGGACAGGAAAGGCTGTTTAGGCTGAGGGAGAAGCCTTTGTAAAGAAACAGGCTGGAGAATGCATATCACATTCAAGAAACTGTGAAGTAATTCAGTGTGGTTATAATTGTATATACGATGTTTGTGTGTGTGTGTTGATGGTAACTGGAATGGAGCGAGGGGGTACCTGGTGGGAAATAAAGCAGAAGAGATAGTCAAGGATCATGAAGGGCTTTATATGTGAATCTAAATTTGGATTTTACCCTGAAGTTCTGGGCTGTCGTTCTAGGATTTGTAAGGCAAGGGAGTGACATGATCAGGTTTAAGTTTTAGATCTCTCTGGCTTTAGTATGGAGGAAAGAGCAGGTCTAGAGTCAGGGCAACCAGCTGTGAGGATTTGGTAGTCAGATCTAAGAGGTGATCAAGACAATTCCAGGGATAGTGAAGACATGGGCTTAAAAGGGCTTGTGACCTACTGGATGTGTAGGAAGAAAGGGAATGGGGTTAAGATTTTTGGTTTCAACAACTGGTTGTTTGAGAATGGCATTCATTAGGATAGATTTATGAGAAGAGAAGCACAAGGTTGATTTTGTTTGGGGCTTGTTGAACTTGGTATATCTGGGGCTGTCCAAATGATGGTGTCCAAAAAACATTTGGCTGTACAGATCTGGAGGGGTACAGATGACTTTGGAGGTGGAATTACAGATTTAACACTCAGCATAATGTTTATCATTTAAGCCACAGGAGAGGTCGAAAGTGCTAAGGGATAGAGTGTTAATTAGCAGACAAGAGAGCCTAGGATAGGTTCCTGGGCTGGGAGGTCCAGAATGGCCTCAGTCAAATGTCTGGCCTTTGACTGGGGCTCGTTGGTCTAGGTTGTCCTTATTGTTCTCCAATAAGATAGATTAGGCTTCTTTTCATGATGACAGAATCTTTCCAAGAGAACGAAAGCAGAAACTACAAAGCCTCTTAAAGACTAGCTGTGGCAGTCGCAGTATCATTTCCATTGCATGTTATTGGTCAAAGCAAGTCACCAGGCCAGGCTAGATTCAAGGGATGAGGAAATAGACTCCTCATGGTGGTGGGGGCTGCAAGTCTCATTGCAAAGGGACAGGATATAATCTATCAGAAATGGCTGACATGTGCCAGTCACTGTGCTAGGCTGGGAATGCCTTCTACAATTAGGTTTTAAACTGTTAGGTATATTTCCCTTCAGAGACACTGAATAAAATTTAAGAGAAACTGAACAAAATTTAATTGGATTCTCTTTCTTCCTCCCTATTTTGCCTAATTATTGATTTTATTTCATTTTTATTTTTTTTGAAGATTTCCAAAACACAATTTAAGGTTTTACTTTTGAGATTGTGGAAGATTTGGCCTGCTGTTTGTGTATGTGCTTATGTATTTGTTCTCTCTCTCTTTCTCTCTCTCTGTCTTTCTCTACATATAGTATATATACATATAAATATATGTATATATGTACATATACACATACATACATATATACATATATGAAAATAATTTACTGGCTTTACCTTTCAAAGTACAAAGTTATATACTGTGTTAACAAGCTGAATAACATAGTGGTGAACTTAGACAAATGTATTATCTCACCCCTCCATGCCTTATTGCCAAGGAAACCAATACTGGCAATTTGGAATTTATGTATTTCTCTTTCATATTTTTCTCTGATACAAATATGTGCAAACATTTATGGAGATCTTTCTTCAAACAGAAAATTGGGTCCTACTATCCACTTGACTGTGTGACTTTTTTCACTTTGGCGTTCATAGTATCTACATCCTCTTGTTCAGTGTGATTATAGATCTTTTTAATAGCCACATAATATACCTTAATATGTATAGGCCACAAGTTATTCCAGCCATTTTCCTATTCTTGGATGTTTAGGCTGTTTTATTCCCTGATTACAATAAAGCTGAATAAACATCTATATACTTATATGTTTGAAAGTTTTATGAGAGCTCCAAAAGGGGATTTTTTGGGTTAAAGGGCATACCTGTTTTTAATTTTAATTGAAATGCCAGATTACTTCCCACAAGATTGTAGCAATTCATATTTCCAAAAGCACAATGAAAGAGCTGTGAACATTTTTCTGTACCTAAAACTATAAAAAACATAGCAAAAAGGTTTTTTTCCTTAGTGTGACTATTACATAAATTTTAGAGAATTATTTGCTGTAACCAAATCAACAAAACATTGTTTTCATAAAGCATCTGTCCATATTATACACCTGAATGCTTTTTAGGTGCGTTAGTTAATGCCCTTAAGAAAAAAAAACTAAGTTTTTTTTTAACTCTTAACTATCATCATTGTCTTAAGATATTAATATAGCATTCTTCTTTACTTTGATCATAGTTTGTCTTTGAATTGTCTGATTAATGGACTGCTTTAATCTTGGCAGGAGGTTGAAACCTACTTTTTTGTGGGTCTGCTGAAATGGAGAGAATTGAATCTCACGGAACACTTTGGTATTTTCTATTTTATTTCCATTTCAATCATTCATCATTTGTACTTTATATGTTCAAAACAACTAAATAGTCGTGTAATGGAAAAGCAGAACTTTTTCTTTTTTTTTCCACCCAGGGAAATTTTACAAAGAAGTTATTGACAAATGCCAGTCATTCAATCAGCTGGTCTATCATCAAAACGAGATAGTTCAGAGTTTGAAGACTCACCTGCAAATCAAGAACAGTTTTGCTTATCAGCCCCTTTTGGAGTAAGTAGCATGCTGAGAGAAAGCTCCAGAACATTTATCTGACTGTTATGAGTGGTTGTGTTTTATACCTACATATACCTTAGATCTGGTGTTTGCAATTTAAAAATAAGAGTTTAGCTGTTCTATTAGTGCATTGCCATAAACCAGAATCTTAGGGGTGTGCTTATTGTTTTTTGCTTTTCTTTTATACTTTTAAGAGAACCCCATTTTTCTTTGACATGATAGGAATGATTGACCATAACTTATTGATGGAAGGCACCTTCTTGCTCTAGCCCGATTTCTTTGCTGAACTCTTAAAATGTGGAAAATGTTATGCCTCCCTTGAGACTTGATTTGAAAGGTTTAATGAATCCTGTCACCAGAGGTGATCTATGATTTGTGAAGTAGATTTATAGTTTTTGTGTTTTGGTCTACATGTCTCAAAAATAGTTACTTTTTGTTATTTTTAATCCAGTTTGATTGTGCAGTTGGCACGAGATCTGCAGACAGACTTCTATCCACATTTTCCGGATTTTTTTCTGACGATCACCTCAATCCTGGAGACTCAGGACACTGAGCTGTTGGAATGGGCTTTCACCTCGCTTTCGTATCTTTACAAGTACCTGTGGAGGCTCATGGCAAAGGACATGTCCAGCATATACAGGTGACCTTTTTCTCTCTCTAGCATGGGTTCTTTTTGTTTGTTTCTAATTTTTATTATGTTTTATTGACGATTCAGTGCTGTTTAGTAAATTGACAAAGTTGTGCAGCTGTCACCACAAACCACTTGAAGAACATTTCCATCACCTCCCAAAATTCCTCACGCCTTTTTAATCAGTCCTGCCCCCACCCCTATCTGCATTCGATTAGAGAGCAAAAGTAATATGTGAAAACAGCTGTGTGCTTGAGGCCCCTAAATAGAGTGATCCTCCTCAATAATGAGATTTTTTAGCATTAAAGTTTTGTAAGTTTTTCTGTTTTGGTCAAGGGCAGTTTTTATCGATACTGACAACCAGGAGAGAATTTCTGACTCCCACCTGTATTTAGTTAAAACATGCATACCACCTGTCATGCATACCTGACTCTGATATGGACTTTAATTGCCTTTTCCCTTGCTTCTGTCTGACCCCAAACTACCTTTCCAGCTCAGATTCTTTTAATTATTTCCTTATATACAGTTGGTTTTCCAACCAAAGTCTATTCCACCAGTCTGCTTTGACCTGATCTTCTCCTATATCCAGCTGGTGAAATCATACCCCCACTTCCCCATCAAAGCCTGGCTTGGATTTCATAACCTCCGTAAATATTCCTGGGTACCTTTGCCAGAAGTGAAAGCTTTGTACCCTTGAATGCCTGGCCTTCTGACCACTTATGGTACACAAATTCTGTTAACAGTTTGTGCGTAATGAAATAGTGTCCTGTACAAACCTGTAAACTCTACAAGAGCCTCGTCTAGATACTCTGCCCTGCTCCTATCATACTTATTAAGCCAAAAGAGACACAGCATTTGTGAGCAGACTTGGACAGGGAAAGAGAATGAGTTCCATAGTAGTTTACATTTCGGGGTAAGATTACTTGTAATCTATCTCAATCCAGGACCTGATGATCGTTTTTCTCTTGGTGTCCTGATTATTTCTATATACTCTAATTGCCACAGGAATACATAAGAAGAAGGCTTCTCCTCCCCATCCCCCACATAGGTGTGGCTATGGGATAAGACTGTAGGTTTTGTTTTGGTATCACACCCCCCACCCCCGACCCTACCCTCTGAGCAAAGAAGGAAAAAGAAATATTTTTCCAGCCTTTACTAGTTCTCTGTGAAGCTTTTGGTAAAATATATTAGGACCGAGATGACTTCACTAAAAAACAGCAAGATTTTGGGGAGATAGAGAGTTTGTTTTTTTTATGTCTCCTAAGTCGGCCTTCCTAGTTTTGAGTTTATTTACTTTCAGTATGACATCCTGGATATTTTCCCTGGAGTATTACTGAAATGAAAGTCGACAGATTCCCATTTAAGCCAACTCTTTTTTTTTTTTTTTATTTAGTTTCAGGTGTACAAAACAATGTAATAGTTAGACATTCACACCCCTCACAAAGTGATAATCCCCTCTCCCAGTCTGCTACCCCTCTGACATCGTATATAGCTATACAATTCTATTGACTCTATTCCCTATGCTGTACTCCATATCCCATGACTATGTGTGTGTGTGTATGTATATATATATATATATATATATATATATATATATATATTAAATTATAGTTGACGTTCATTATTATTCAGTTTCAGGTGTACAGCACAATGGTCAGGCATCTACACAGTCCATGAAGTGGTCTCCCTAATAAGACAAGTGCCCATCTGACACCCTACAAAATCTTTACAACATTATTGATTTTATTTCCCAAACTGTCTTTCATAACCCTGTGGCAATATTGTTACTACTAATTTATACTTTCTAATCCCTTTACCTTCTCCCCCATCCCTACCCCTCTCCCATCTAGAAACCCTAAGTTTTTACTCTGTATCTCTGAGTCTATTTCTGTTTAGTTTGCTCGTTTATTCTGTTCTTTAGATTCCACATGTAAGTGAGATCATACAGTAGTTGTCTTTCTCTGTCTGACTTCTTTCACTCAGCATAATTCATTCGTGTGTTCAGCATATGTGTACTCTGTGCCAGGCCCTATTTGGTTACCCAGTTTCTAATAGTGACACCATCATTCTTGTCATGGAGACTTGGCCCCCTTGGGGCATCTTTGACCCAGTGTCTTCAAGGACTCCAAATCCTCTCGATTCTGTCATTCATTCACTCAGTTAGTTTGGTGAGTATTTATTGAGCACTGTGTGACAGGCGCTTGAGATACAGTCACAAATAAAACAGGTAAAAATCCTTCTTGCAAAATTTACATTTTAATAGAGGGAGACCATCTTGGGCACATGTCTGGCATGCGTGGGGAATGGCAGAGAGGCCTGGGTGGTTGAGCAGCCGGCGTGTACAAGGGGAGACTGATTAGGCGATGGTAGTTGGGCACCAGATCGTAAAGGGCCTTTGGACACTAAGGTCTTTGGTCCCATTGCAGGGACTTGAAATGTCTTTTGGGTCCATCCTTTGCCCTTCCCTGTACCACCAGCCTCTTTCATGCTGTCATTCACTCAAGGTTGTATGGCTTGAGTAGCTTTCTAGTTGGACTGTCAGCCTCTTCTTTCTTCCTTTATTTCATCCCGTATATTGCTGCCAGAGTAATCCTTCTGAAAATACTCATTTCTTATTCAGCCAATATTAGTACCTGCTATGAGCAAGGAACTGTTAGAAAATAGGGATATGGCAAAAGTAGGAGAGGCATATTCCATGCTCTGCTATCATGCGGGAGACCAATTTACAGTGTTATTATACAAGTAATTATTTAGTCATAGATACATGGCTCTATGAGCATTTCTGCCTCAATGTTATTATCTGTAGAATGGGGATATTAACAGCACTCACCCTGTAGAGTTGTTGTGCTGCTAAGATGAAGTAACACAGAGTAAGTGCTTACATAAATGTAAGCTAGAGTCCACATTCCGCTTGGTGTTCAGCGCCTCCTGTTTACCTGGCAGCTTCCTGTAGCTGCCCCACCCACATCATTCTTCCTCTTTAGACTGGCCTGCCTGTGTTAGCCCTTGAGCATGGTCGTTTCTGTCCACCCCATCTTTTTTTTTTTTTTTTTAAAGAAATTTTATTGGGAAACAGTGGGTTTTTCCAGGACCCATCAGCTCCAAGTCAAGTAGTTGTCTTCAGTCTAGTTGTGGAGGGCGCAGCTCAGTGGCCCATGTGGGGATTGAACCAGCAACCTTGGTGTTATTAGCCTGCGCTCTAACCACCTGAGCTAACCGGCCACCCCATGTCCACCCCATCTTTGATCTCACTTTTATCCCTAGTAATACGCACTCTGGTATTCACCGGAATTCTTCCTATTAGGGCTCACTACAAGTTTCAGCTTTTCGTGGAGTCCTTCCTATAAGTCCAAGCACCACCAATCCTACAATTCGTAATTTCTGTTCAACGGGTGAGTGTCTTGGTAGTAGACTGAGATTTTAAACTTCTTGTTTTATACCTGCTACATGTTCCTTGCTTTCCTGCCATGGCATTGGTTGGATATATAGTTGGCGTGTAGAACATCTTTATTAAAATTATGATTACTAAACAAGTCTTGTTTTCTCATTTACAGCATGTATAGTACACTCCTGGCTCATAAAAAACTACATATAAGAAATTTTGCTGCTGAAAGCTTTACATTTTTGATGAGAAAGGTTAGTCTAATATTTGATATGTTTATTGTTCGTTAATCCTCAAGAATCTGATGACAAAAGCTGATACATTTTATACTGTAGTTATTATGGGCTAATGCTATATATACAGAAACCTGTAGGTATTTTGAGTTTATTCATCATAAAGTTTAGTGTTTGCTCACTATGAAATAATTTGGGTCATTCTTTCATTATTTACGTTTTTGGTAGCTGAGAGAGAGAGAGAGAGAGAGAGAGAGAGAGAGGGAGAGAGGGAGAGAGGGAGTATGCGTGTGTAGCCAGTAAATACATCAACAGTAAGATTAATAGGAATCTTTATAATAATTTCCTGGAAGGAACTGAATGCATAGTGTCATTTGTGTTTGTTTCCATGGTAAATTTTAAAGGGTTTTTGTAATAAAACAAAAACATTGGTACTAAATTTCTTTTATACTCATGAAATACATGCTTTTCTTTAAAAGACAGAATGTTGCCTTACATAGTTTTTCTGGTATATTTCTTATGTCAATGAATTAATCACACTTTTGTGTGACATTATAAGTGAAAGTATGCTATTAAAGTGGTTGGAGATCATTACAAGTGTGTACTCCTTTTAGAATTTTGCACTAATTGTATTTAAATATGAATCTGTAGAATGGCAAATAAAATGTCTTTATTTGGGTATGTTTATGTTTTAAATGCAATTTTCTGTTCCCATTTTGTGTTGTAGGTTTCTGATAAAAATGCACTTTTCAATTTAATGTTTCTTGATCTTGATGAACATCCAGAAAAGGTAGAAGGAGTTGGACAGTTGCTCTTTGAAATGTGCAAAGGAGTGAGAAACATGTTTCACTCCTGTACAAGAGAGGTAACTGACTGGGGAGAATACTCTGAGTCTATGTGAAAGGGATTCAAAAGAAAATAGAAAAGGTTTACTGAAATGATAGAAGATCACCTAGAATAAACAGCACTAAATGGGGAGCATTAAGGCTTTGATAACAGTGCTTATCTAATGTAGGCTCTGGGTCACTAGGGATTTTTACTTACAAAATCATTGCTCTCTTCACCCTGGATCCTAATGATTAATGAGCAAAGGTGGGTGTGGAGGGGGCAGTTATATGATCAAATTCCCCATCCTAGTTTGGAAATTCCTTTTAGGACAGTTAAACATCAAAGCTTTTATATCCTTGAATTATTCCTGAATCAGATTTTAAGGTAGCTAATATAATCAGAGTGGGAAATCAGTGTGATACTTAAAAAATGAAGATTTACATGTTTATTTTAATGACTCTTGGATTCCCACAGGCAGTGAAGCTAATTTTGCAAAAGCTAGGACCAGTCACTGAAACAGAAACTCAACTACCATGGATTTTAGTTGGAGAAACTCTCAAAAACATGGTCAAATCCGCTGCGTCCTACATCCACAAGGAACATTTTGGTACATTTTTTGAATGTTTACAAGTGAGTTCTAATTTTTCAGGATTTGTATGTGATGTGGAGTCCAGGAGTTAGTTGTTCTTGGTCTTACTTTAGCAGATCACTCCTGAAGATGGCATTTTATAATTGTCTTTATACTCTTACAAACTTATTAGGGTTTTCCTTCCCTCCGCCCCTGTGCTATTTTTATTTGACTTGCTATTTTGAGATGCAGTAGAGCATCTACTTTGGAGCCAGACTGCCTCTGTTTGAATCTTGACTTTCTCAGTTATTGCTAGTATGGCTTGGGAACGTTGTTTAAATCTCTATTCTCCAGTTTTATCATCTGGTAAATGGGGTAATAACACTGTCTCCTTCATGGTTGCCATGAGGATAGCGAGGAAATGCTTATAAAGAGCTTAACAACTGCACTCAGAAATGTTAGCTGTTATTATCCTTAGTGACTCCCAGTAAATGTATATTTTCCTTCAGATCAAAAAAATGTGAAATTTGAACTGCTTCACACAACATTATCAGATTAACAGATGAGTTTGATATTTTATAGCTATTCTCTCTGTTAAATTCTTTGTTTGCAGGAATCACTCCTGGATCTACATACAAAAGTAACCCAAACTAACAGTGGTGAAAGTTCTGAACAGATTAAAAGGTTATTAGAAACATATCTGATTCTTGTGAAACACGGAAATGGATCAAAGATAACCAAGCCCGTTGATGTTTGTAAGGTGAGTTCCCAACTTAATTTGCTTAGAGCCTATTCATTAAAAGCTGATTGCTAAGTGTGCATTGTTTTTTTCTTTTAATTTACAGGTATTGACTCGAACATTACAAATTACCCATCTCTCCACATCTTGCCGGCAGACCCTCTTGGATATAATTTCTGCTTTGCTCCTGGGCGAAAATGTTTCCTTGCCAGAATCCCTCATCAAAGAAACCACAGAAAAAGTAATTGACTTCAGCAAATATTGAGTAGTTAATAATATGTTTAGCATTGCATAAACCTCTTGGGAAGTATAAATAAAGCATGGCAAAGGCTCTGCCTTCAGAGAATTTATAATCTTGTTAAGGAGATTTGAGTCACATGCTGTAATAGAAACAAGCGAAACAAAGTGTAATACAAGCTAAATCTATTCAGCAGATATTCACCAAATACGTATAGCTTACCATGTGCTGGGTGTGGACTGGATATTTCAGAGTGCACACTATGGTGACTGTGAATTTTGATTGTTAAGGAAGTGGAGTCCTGGGAGTGAGTTGTTATAATCTGTTGAACTAATCTATTGATGTCATATTGAAGCATAACAATTCTGTCTGGGTTTGAGGAACAGAGACTGCTTTTCAAAGGACTTATATTCTGGGATAGTCCTTGAAGGGTAAATAGCAGTCTGCCAGCTAGAGAAGAGGTTAAAAACTAAGAGAGGGAACAGTTAAGATGTGTTAAAAAAATGTGAGCTGTCTAGGCACATGGGCACATGAAGAAGTGTGATGTGTATCAGCAAGGCTCCGCTTGGCTTTGAAAAGTTAGGCTGGATGTTACCCTGCAAGTGTTGCAGGCCCCTGGAAAAATTTTAAGCAGGGAAAGGATTTGATGAGATTTGTAGTTTAGTAAGTTTAGAAGTTCTAGAGGGAAGTGGGATTGAATATAGGAAGATCAGTCGGGTTCTTTCTAGCTTCATGTGGTGCAGCCGTGTCAAATCTGGAGGAAGGTGTAAAATCATGCTGCTAGCTCTTTCATAATTCTCTGTAGCAGGGAGAATTGAGCAGCCCTTTGGCAGAGTCCTGTGTGATTACTAGAAACGCAGTGCCCTTCGCATCTGTGGAAGTTCCTATGGGGAAGGCCTAGCATTTGGACAGAGAACTGACTGAAGTGTGCCCAGCACTCCTTACTCTAGCCATCTTCCCGCGGAGGGCTCAGGGCCTGCGTCCCCCACCTGGGTGTGGCCCTCTGCACAGAGGCCAGTTCAGCAGTCAAGTTCTTTCTCAATCTCCTGTGACTGCATTAACTCGTATCAGGTGGCCCGCTACTATCTGCTTGCAAGTTAGAGGACCTTGAAGGTTTGGGGTGTTCTTTATTTTCAGGAATGGGGAAAGTACTCTATACTTACATTAATATTTTTTATCTGTGGTCTTTTCAGACTTTTGAGAGCCAATTTGAAAGACGTTTAATTTTGGATTTTTCTGAAGTCATGTTTGCTATGAAGCAGTTTGAGCAGGTGAGCAAGATACCAAGTTTTGGATTTGTTTTGTTTTTAATCTGTCATGATAAAATAATCAAATTTAAAATCCTGTGATTTTTGGGTTTTTTTTTAAAGAGAAACGGAATAAGTATTGGGTGTTTTCATCCGTATTTTTTTAAAGCAATTCAATTCCAATTTTAGGTCACAAGTGAAATTTTATTCCATACACTAAGGTATTTAAAACAATATTAGGTAACCAGCTTGGTTTTAAATAATCCTTTAAGAAGTTGTAGAACCATGTGGTAAAATTGGGGGAAAAAACAGTGTAGGGAATTTTTATGTGAATTTGAAGCGTAGAAAATAGTTTCTGGAACAGTTTACATTGGAGGAATGTTGTGCATTCATTTCATTGCTGCAAAATAGATCCCTGATGGAATGAAGTAGAAATCTCCCTTCTCAAATCCTGAGTTTATTTTCTCCCTTTTCCCTCATCCCCATCAAACACTTGCTATTTCTTATAACTGGAAATCCTACAGTGTACTTCATGGCAACTTGTCTCTGCATCTGCTCTCTCATTTTTCCCTTCAGTCATTGATAACGTGTATTATCATTTGTCTCCAAAAAAACTTCTCAGTACGCGCCCTAGCCCTGTTCCTTCCTGCCCTGCGAGGGCCCTTCGTCTTGTTCTGGTTTTCATTGCAACAGCATCTCTTCCTTCTTCCCTGTTCCCTTTGGTCTTTTTAAAAAACATATTTAAAAAAATATTTTTTGAATTGTTTATCAAGAGAAACTATGCCTTAGCCCAAATATTCATGTGTCATAGTTCAGAAATACAGTGACAAGCTTCCGTGGAACTCAACTCAAAGACATTCTTTACACTCCGAAATCACTTTGCACTCTGGAAGATACCAGCCTTCCTCCTCGCCTCAAAATCTTTCATGGAATCATAATTTCTGGGGAAATCTGGGTAGGCCTTCTTGCTTGGTTCAGCCACAGCAAACATAGAAAGCTGCAAGCCCCAGGGATGCAGTGATCGCTCCAACAGTATAAAATGGCAGATCCCTGGGCAGGAAGCCCCGCATCTGAGGTTTCGTCAGAGCAGGGGAAGGTATGGTAGCTGTACTCTCCATAGGGGGGCACAGGAAGGATGGATGGATAGCAGACTGACTCAGAAAATCTTACTTTTGTCAGAGTCCTCTATGTCATTTAAAAAGGCAAACAGGGCTAGGAGGCAGTCACTTGATTTCCACTCCCATCTAACTCACCAGGAACAAACACATCTAATGATTTTTAGCTATTTTTTCCCGGTATTTATATTTCAAATCATCTGAATTTGCTGCATTTCCTTTATTAGTTTTAGTCCTCATCTGAAGACTTCCTTCCTCCTATGGTAGATGGATTCTGGTTCTGCTACACCCTCGTCTTCCTAAGTAGAGTTACTTCATAGATTTTTGGCTGAATTTCACGTTCACCATATACTTAATCCTTATTTAAAAAAGAGGAGTATTTTATAATTATATTCTTGTGTACCTTCTCATTTTTCCTGAAATTGCCTCATTCTTTAAAAACCGGAATTTTTTTTTTTTTTTTTTTTTTTTTTTTTTTGTGTAGTCAGTCTGTAAATCGTCTTCCAACAGCATTGTACGAATAGAATGCCTTCCATAAGGCAATTGGTCAGATAATTTAGCACCTCAATTTTTTTTTTTTCCTTTCTTGGAGACATTCTTCCTGGAGCAATTCAAGTCTGAATAGATTGCTTTCTCAGTCCACTGCACAGATGTTACACAAGCACTTCCTTTGATTTTCTCCTGTTCCACGGACCCCACGTCTTTCCCATGTTATTTTAATAATTTACTCTCTTATTTTGATGAACATTCTTCAGAGGTTCCTTCCAAGGTGAATGGAAGTAAAATTTTGAGATTTTGTACATCTGAAAATGTCTTTATTTTCTCCTCACACTATATTGCTAGTAGGCTGGGTATGGAAATCTAGATTCTGTCATTTTACCTCAGATTTTTTCAGTCATTGCTCTGTTGTCATCCTTCTTCCATTGTTGCTGTGGAGAGGTCTGCTGCCATTATAATTCGTCATCTTTTGTTTATGATCTATATTTTTCTCTGTGGAAGTGTTAGAATCTCCTCTTAATTAGGTGTTCTGAAATTTATATCTGTTAATAACTGTCATTTTCTTTTTTCTTTTTAGCTTTTTCTACCCAGCTTTCTCTTATATATTGAGAATTGCTTCTTGATCGATGATGCTGCAGTCAGAGATGAAGCTCTGGCCATTTTGGCCAAGCTCATCCTGAACAAAGCAGCACCTCCCACTGCTGGCTCGATGGCAATTGAGAAGTACCCTCTGGTTTTCTCACAGCAGACGGTGGGGTAAGTTCTAAGTCTTTATTTCCTGTATTGTTGGTAGGAGATCCCATTTTATGAGACTGAGGCGCTACCTACTGCGCTAACGAGGCACCTAGGAGATCCCATTTTAAAACAATACATTAACAATACTGTAAAAAAAGAAGATCTATATGTATTAACTGGAAAGATGTCCATGATAATTGTTATGTGAAAAAAGCAAGTTGTAGAATAGTATGTGACGTATGAACCCATTTTGCAAAGTTAAAAGAAAAAATGTATATAAGCATAGGAAAACATATGGGAAATACACAAACAAGTTACCTTGGGTAATGTCAGGAGGATGGTAAGTGAAAGAAAGACGTGACTATTACATTTTTTTAACCTTTTATTTAGAATAATTGTCCATTCACATGCAGTTGCAAGAAATAGTACAGAGACATTCCATATACCCTTCACCCGGTTTTTCACCATGGTAACACCTTACAAAAGTTTACTATAATATCACAACTAGAAAATTGACATTGGTATGATCCAGCAGCCTTATTCAGATTGACCAGTTTCACATGCACTCATTTCTGCCTGTGTATGTAAATGGATATATAGTTCCATGCAGTTTTATCACATGTATATTTGTAACCACCACCAGAGTCAAGACATAGCTTTCCATCACTGCAAGGATCTGTTGTACTACCTGTTAATAACCACACTCACCTTACTGCTCCCCACTCCACTCCCAACCCCTGGCAACCACTCATCTATTCTCCATTTTTATAGTTTTGTCATTTTAAGAATATTATAGAAATGGAATTGTACAGTATACCTTTTCACACAACGCAGTTCCCTGAGACCCATCCAAGTTGTGTGTCTCAGTAATCCATTCCTTTTTATGGTGAACGTCTTTTCATGGGCTTACTGCTGGGTAGTATTCCATGGTATGGATGTAGCAGTTTGTTTAATTATTCACTTATGGAAAGATATTTAGGTCATTCCTAGTTTGGGGTTACTATGAATAAAGCAGGTATGATGAACATTCATGTACATAGCTTTTTGTTTCTCTAAGGTAAATGCTCAAAGTGGACTTGTTGGGTTATGTAATAATCACATGTTTAGTTTTCTAAGAAACTACAAACTGTTTTCCAGAGTAGTTGTACTACTATACACTCCCATCAGCAGTGTGAGTGATCCAGTTTCTCTGCATCCTCACCAGCATTGGATATTATCACTGTTTTTTATTTTTATCAGTCTGATAGGATGATATCGCATTCTGGTTTTAATTTTCATTTCCCTAGTGGCTGATGACATTGAATATCTTTTCATGTGCTTGTTTGCCATCTGCATATCCTCTTTAGTGAAATATCTGTTCATTTCCTTGGCCCATTTTCTAACTCTAGAGTTTCTTTTTTTACTGTTATTTTTTATTTTATTTTTTTTTTTGAGAGTGTTTTATATAGTCTAGGTACAAGTCCTTTTTTGTTAGATATGTGGTTTGCAAATATTTCCTCCCAGGCTGTAGCTTGTCTTTCATTGCTTAACAACATTTTTCACAGAGCAGGGTTTTAAATTTTGATGAAGTTCAGTTTATCAACTTTTCCTTTTATAGATAATGCTTTTGATGTCCAGTCTAATAATTTTTTGCCTAGCTGTAGGTACCAGATATTTTCTCCTATTTTTCTAAAAGTTGTATAGTTTTATGTTCTACATTTAAGTCCATGATCCATTTTGAGTTAATTTTTATGTAAGATACAAGGCTTAGGTCATTTGTTTTTTTGCCTATGGCTATCTATGTATGCTCTGACAACATTTGTTGAAAAGGCTTTTCTTCCTTATTGAACTGCTTTTGCACCTTTGTCAAAAATCAGTTGGGGATATATGTGTGGGTCTGTTTCTGGGTTCTCTGTTCTGTTCCATTGACCTATATATGTCTGTCTTACTCTAATACCACATAGCCTTATTACTATTGCTATAAAATAAGTCTTAAAATCTTAGGAAAAAAATTCTTCCACTTCATTCTTTTTCAAAATTGTTTTAACTATCCCTGTTCCTTTGTCTGTCTTTATAAATTTTAGAAGAAATTTGTCTATGTCTACCAAAAAACAAAAACAAAACCAAAACACCTTGCTGAGGTTTTGTTTGGAATTACATTAAGTGTATAGATCATTTTGGGGAGCATTGACATCTTCCTAAGGATACACAAAACTTAACTTTAGATTATATACCTTTGCATTGTTTGAATTGTTAAAAGGGCCATGGATTACATTCTTCGTTCTGTTAAAAACAGTGCATACTCTTTCCAACTTGGAAACACTTGATATAAGTACGTGAGAAGGTTTTGCTTATCATTTTTCAAATAGTTGGCATGGGTCTGCTTCCAGAAATTATAGATTAGGAAACCAGTTCCTTTAACATTCTCGTGTGTTATACCTAGGAATACATGGGAGTGAATAAGTTTATTATTTCACTTGGGTTAGTTAAACCTGTTGCGGCATTCCTTCAGTTTGTGCGGAGTAATCAGCTTTGAAGCATCACAGTATCCCTTGAGGTGTGCGGGAGACCAGCTTCCGCAGGTCCAGGGGTTCCTTCAGGTGGAGGCGGAGTTGGCGAGGAAAAAAGGAAAAACCGCGCGGAGACACAGGAGCGCTTTTTCAAGAGGAAGTGTCTCACTTTATTCTACAGCATGCCCCTTTTTATACCGGGCAGTTTAACCATTGTTCCATTAATATCAGGGTTTTACTTCCTCATAATTCTTATGCTCCAGGGTACAGCTATACCTTTTCTATGCTAAAGACTAACTTATCCCAACTGCGCCCAAATCCCTCCACCTACAATGACTGCGACCAAGGCCTGAGCCTTTACATAATCGCCTAAAGGATGGTTACCATGACCACCCAATATTTATTCTAAAAACTATTGTCTAAACAGGATCTTAAGATTTACAAAGAGTGTGTACTTTGACCTTTACTAAAAGACTAGTTGTGCGACTAAAATTACCTTTAGTGTATAAAATATAATTATTGTGATATGTCTATTAGAAGGGGTGTAAGGTCTTCGTCCTACTGGGGGGCATCCAAAGGGGGACTTAAATTCTTTAAGATATAAAGCAGTATCTGTTTCTCAGTCAGAGCTTCAGAATTTGTCACAATTGCAGTGTGTTTGGCCATGTCAGATACTGAGGTGCAGACATCTCCCGGCAGAGGTGGGCGTCATTGTCCCCACAGTCACACAGCAGAGATAGTTTTTGAGCCTGACCAGCTTGAGATTCTGGAAGAACCCGTCTTCTCTACATGTTGCTCTTCTGCCAACCTCCAAAGTAGCGTCTCTATCAAAACATACCAACAGGATTCTGTTGGTTTTTCGCTTTGCTGAGCTCTGATTCCTGAGGAATGGGTAATGAATAATCCCTGTAGAATTATTTCCTTGGAACTTTTCTCTTGATTTTGCCACACCAAGCCAATCACCAAACGGCAGATTCCTTCCAAGTGGCCCAAACTGTGGGTTCTGGGCCATGGGCGTGCGCTGCTTTGTTGGCTTCCACAAGTGAAACCAAGGGCCCAACTGAGGCGGCAAGTCAGACCTTCTCACCTGCCGTCTCACCAGTCTCCAATTCCTCTTGGAATGTGACATGATAAGAACAAATAAATTAATGCAGGCGTGTTAACTTAAGGCAAGCTACTGTGTTTCTCTCTCTGAGAAAGCCGCCTTCTGCCACCTCCACAGAAATAGGATATGTGTGAAGAATGGCCCGTCACCTCTGAGTTTTCTTAGTCACACCCTATCCCATTTATCTCACAGATTTGTCGTGACAATAAAAAAGGTGGTAGATCTGAAAAGACTCTTCAGAAGATAATTTTTTCTGTCATTTGACTGATAGTTATTGTATTAGACACTGTTCAGGGCACTGGGGCATAACAATGAAAAAGAAAAAGGTTCCCTTCTTTTTCCCTTCTTTTGAGGAGATGACATTCTTGGGACAGAGTGTGTGAGGCAGATAAACAAATAAACAAGATGATTTTAGGTAATGATAAAAAGACAAAACCGGGAATTGAGAGGAAGAGTGAATGGAGAAGCCACACTCTCTGGAGAGGAGGGGACTTTTGGGCCAATTGTAATGATGGAAGGACCCAGCCTTGCCACAAAAAGCCAGGTGAAAGGCTTTCCAGGCAAAGGGAAGAGTTACTGCAAAGGCTCTGGAACAGGAGTAAGCCCAGTATATTTGAGGAACAAAACGAAAGCCTGTGTGGGTAAAAAGCATTGAGCAAGGAGGAGCGTGGAATGAGAGGAAGCGAGAGAAGTAGGCAGGATCGGATCACAGAATGAGGTAAGGGTGTGAATTTTAAGGGAGGAGCTCACTGGCAGATGTGATGAAGCAGGGGAAGGACAGGACGACTAAAGACTCACGTTTTAAAAGCATCTCAATATTTTATGTGTAAGGTTTTTGCAGATTGTTGAATAATGATTAATACTAGAAAGACTGTGTTTCAAGGTGTAGTGACTTTCAGAAATTGCCAATGAAAGTAGCTATCTGGCATAATTTCCAAACATTCAATGTCCTGATAAGTACAGAACAAAAGAGAATGCAACTTTTTGGTTAATTTTAATGATCAAAAGGATACAGAAATAAAAACCCCATATTCCACTTCTATTGGATAACAAGCTAAGCAATGTGGACATGGAGGACAAATTATAAAAACAAACCATTTTACATGTTTCTGTGGTTTTTCATTTGATTAGATTTCTGACTTAAAGAAAACTGAGGTATGATTCATTAGCAAAAATAAAAATAGGCAAATAAGAATAGTGCCAAAGTAACAGATACGTCAAACTGGATGTCATATCAAAAAACATCATTGAGTAACCATTTGTCAGATTAAAGCAACAGAGAAAGTTACTTCTAAATCCTAGTCATTTTAGTGACATTTGTCAAATTCACCATAACTTTGTGACATCACTCTCATTTGAGAAGTACAGTAGTCCCCCCTGATCTGCTGGGGATATGTTCCAGGACCCCAAGTGGATGCCTGAAACCTCTGATGGTTCCGAACCCCATACATACATGTTTGTTGCTATACGTGCATACCTATGATAAAGTTTAATTGATAAATTAAGCACAGTAAGAGATTCACAACAGTAATAAAATAGAACAACTATGAGAATATACTGTAATAAAAGTTACGTGAATGTGGTCTCTTTCTCTCTCAAAATATCTTTTTGTACTGTACTCACCCTTCTTGTTATGATGCAAGATGATAAAATGCCTTATTGAGAACTTACACCTTTTCACTTAACGTAAGCACTTTTGGGCATCTTTTGGACATAGCCAAGTTGCCAGCGTCACTACCCTATGCTTGGGGCTACTGAGTAAAATAAGGGCGACTTGAACACAAGCACTGCGGTGTCTGGACAGTTGATCTGAGAACCGAGATAGCTTCTAAGTGACTAGCGGGCAGGGAGCTCCTAGAGTGTGGAGACGCTGGGCAGAGGAATGACTCACATCCTGGGTAGTGTGGAGCGGGACAGTGAGAGCTTTCATCACACTGCGGAGAATGACCCAACATTTGAAACTTAGGAATTGTTTATTATGGAATTTTCTAGCGAAACCACAGACAAGTAGGGGACTACTGTAGTAAAATTTATGTCACAAGGGAAAGGAGGGATAGAGGAAGTCAGTTTATTCCAGTAAATTGCCTCTCCAGTTCTTAAAAACATGTCCATCAGCACAAAATTAGGACATTATAAATCTTAAACCAAAAGACTTGCTTTAGGTTATGAAGCAAATTAAAATAGAAAATAGAAGAAAGTGGAACCAATGGGGTTGAAAAAGCCTCTTGCTGAAAATCAGTAAATGATGCACATTTGTTTAGTTGTTTATCTTCAGCCATCACCACCCGTTCCCTTCTCTCCCCAAATGTTCCACGCTTGGAGAGGAACCCAATTCTATTTCAGCCTTCTTAGGGTAAGAGCAATCACATTCTTTTCTATTTTAAACATTTATCTTTTCTTCTTTCAGATCCTATCTAAGGCAGCAGAAGACCAGATCCAAAGGAGGAAAGGAACAGACCCCAGTATTGGACCATCTTTTATCTATCATTCAGTTACCCCCAAATAAAGATACTACTTTCCTTTCAAATTCTTGGGCAGCCCTTGTCGTGTTACCTCATATTAGGTGAGAAAATACACTGTTTTATTTTGAAAGAGGTATTAGCGTGCTGATTCAAACCTTTACTCGCCATTCCTTGCTCTTCCATGAAAAAGCCATTGAATGCCAGTTTGGACTTGTCCCTTTTTCTCCCCACTTCTTGGACAGACCTCTTGAGAAGGAGATGGTGCTACCACTGGTCACGTGCTTCATAGAGTCACTCTTTACGACTGTTGACAGAGGGAGCTTTGGAAAAGGTCAGTCACAATTCTCATTTGTTCTCTAGTCTTCTTTTCTGGCACAGCGACAGTAATTGTGAACCATAGAATACCAGAGAATAGTTCTAGCATTGTGTTCTGGTGTACACCCCTATGTGATAAATACGGAAAAAAGAGGGTAAGAGGGTTGGTTGTTCCTCATAATGTGGTGACCCGGTCAGGGCGGCTTCAACATAAGCTGAATCTGAAAGTAAAGCATCAAAAGGATGCCGTGGTCACAGAAATGAGGCCCCCTCACTCTGGAGCCCCAGCTTGTGTCTGGTTCCCTGGCTCCCACGGCTAGTCTCCCCCTGGTATGAGTAAGACACGCTTTTCCAAACCTCCGGCTGCCATTGCACATGGGTTCCTTCTTTCTGGAGTTCTTTCTAGGTCTTTGTCATTTGGTGATCTCTTACCTTTCCTTTTAAAACTCATCTCAAGCACAGCGCCTCTCGGAAGGCCTTCATGACTCTCCCAGGCAGAATTAGGCTGCCTTGCCCAAAACACTATTTCTTGTTGTATACTTGTATGATTTCCCCCCCCACGAGCCTGAGAATGAGAATTTAAAAGCAGGTATTTTGTTTTATTGTAGCACAGCATTATTTTCCCAACATGTGTATAGAAGCCATTCACTCATTTAAATATTAATGTGCTAGATTCTGTGTAGCCACATGTGACCACTGACTACTATGCTGGACTGTGGCTGCATATTGGCTCAAGTATAGAACGTTGCTACCATTACAGGAGGTTCTCAAGTCTAGAGCAGAGGGTTTGATAAAACTTTTAAGTAAAGGACTAGTTAGTAAATATTTTAGGTTTTATGAGCCACATTCAGTCTTTGTGGTATATTATTTTTGTTTAGTTTTTGTTTTAAACCACCCTTTCTTTAATAATGTTAAATGTTTTTAGGTTATCGGCCATATATATAAGAATAGACAACCTACAAGATCTGACTTACAGCCCATAGTTTGCCAACAACTGGTCTACGGTTAAAGGAATATATAGCTAATATTAATTGAGTGGATTATGGGTAGTAGCCATTGGATATGTGACTCTTTATAAATTGGAGAGAAAATCAACATGAGTTTTATACAAAAATAATTTATTAGGTTTTGAAAACCTCAAGTCTGCTTTCCTCAAAAGTTCTACTTTTGATAATGCCAGTCAGTGGAACCATTGAACTTCTTCCTTACTTTCAATTATGGAACATACATTTTTATTCTCTAATTCTGAATGTATTTTTCTCTTAAGAAAGTTAAAATATAAGACTTGGAACCTTCTCTTTTTAATTCTTTTCTATTATATTCTGACATTTGACAGGTAATTCTTTAAAAGGCTCAACTTTAAGATGTTTGCATAAATAGCAAGTGTTAGATAAGTGAGATGTCTGATAGTTTTGTGTCAAAGAAATAAGTAATGTGGTTTCTTCTCTTTTCTGCCCTTAGGAAACTTATTTGTTCTTTGTCAAGCTATAAATACTCTGCTAAGTTTGGAAGAATCTTCTGAACTACTTCAGCTGGTCCCTGTGGAACGTGTGAAGAATTTAGTACTGTGAGTAAGCATACCTTCCATTTAACTTAATAGTGAATAAAATACAAAAGCTTCAGTTTCTGTGAAGTCTTGGACGTAATAAAAGTCGTGTTTTGATCTATTTTCTACCTGAACTGTTGCTCGCATAGGAGATTTATCATTAATTTAAATCCTCCAATTAAAACAAGTACATTTTTGGACACAGTCTTTAAATATAGATTCATCTTTGTAAAGGGGTGTTTCACTGTGTGTGTAAACTAGTGTTGTAGAACGTAAAAGGTAAATAACGCTGACTACTCCCACCCGTAACACAGCACAGTGTTGACCTTCCAAATCCCCAGGGAGACATGAAAGCCAGCACTGGGAGGGGGGTGCTGGCTGCAGCAGCAAAGCACTATTTTGGCTGAGCAGAGCGAGGAATGGCTCGTGGAAGAGGACATGAAGGTGGGGATGGCAGGCAGTGGATGACCTGTGGCCGTTATAGGGCCTTGGCTTTTACTCCAAGTGAAAGGGGACATGGGAGATTTGGGGCAGGGAAGTGACTTAAGCCTAAATAGGATCACCCTGGCTGCTGTGTTGAGAAGAGACTGAAGCAGAATAAGGGAGACCAGTTAGCATTTCTTTGCTTTAACCATTTACCACCCCCATGTCAAATAGCGCCACTCCTCACCCGCCTTTCCCTCCCCCTCCACCCGTGCACCAGTCTCTCAGTCTAGCCCCCTTTCCCTGATTTACTTTCCTCCACCACACTCATCACTGTCATACTGATTATATATTAGTTTATCTACTTACTGGCCACCTTCTCCTAGAATACAAGCTTCAGGAGAGTAGGAACTTTGTCTTTTGTTTATTGCTATATCCAGTGTCTAAAAAAGTCATTGGCACATAATAGACACTCAGTAAGTATTTGTCGAAGGAGGCTGGCACATAGAGTTTAAACAACTTGCCCAGGGTTACACTGCTCATGGATGACGAGGCTGCCCTACGCCAGAACCCAGATCCTCCTCTGTATGGCTTCCCTCATTAGCTCAGTGCCTGGCACATGGAAGACACTCAGTAAATATTATATCTCCCCCCTCATGTCATTTGTCATTTATAACTATATGGATTGAAGAGACAGCATTGGATTTTAGTCAAAGTAGCATATTCTCATCCTGCCTCTGCCTCCAGCTAGCTGTGTGTTCTTGAGCATGTCACTCACTGTTGCTAGGCCTCAGATTCTTCATACTGTGGAGTGTATGGTCCAGTTTGGATCTAATAAACATCTTGTTACAGAGCGTTGCCTCTGGAGCCATCTGTGTTGCTGTTGGCTGATCTCTATTATCAGAGATTATCCTTATGTGGCTGCAAAGGGCCGCTTTCTGAGGAAGCGTTAATGGAATTATTTCCCAAGTTACAAGCAAACATTTCAACGGGCATATCCAAGGTAAGACGGTTGTGTGGTGTGTTCTCCATCTCTCATCCATTGTTTCTATATGTACTGCCAGTGGTTGTCAGAGCTCCTTATCAGAAAATGCTCCTGTGGGTGATTTCTGTTTAAAGCAGTGACTCCTAAACACTGACCTCCAAACTGATTGCAGCCGGTCTCATTGAGGAGTTTAATAAAAATATAAATTCTGAGCCCCTACACCCCCAAATTCTGATTCCGTATGAGTAGGGTGGGACTGAAAAGCCTGCATGGTTTTTAAAGCCATCTGGGTGATTCTGCTGCTCATCAGGTGTACAGAAATACATGAATACGTTATTTAGAAATAAAAATAATTTCAATGGAATTGTAGGCTTAATCAGATTCTTTGCACTTATTTACAGAGATGCTTATAGTGTCACAGTTCCAAGAAACAACATGGTTTTATGGGCAACCTTACCTTCTCAGTCTAGTCTGGTCATTAAGGGTTCCAGGTACCATTTGAATGAGGTGTTGGTGTTGAATATGAAATAAGAGATAGAGTAAGCATGTGTTACTCTGAGAAGTAGTACAGTTTTCATAATTTTATAAGACTTAGATCTCACTATTAATCATTTTCTAATTATGTTTAAACCTTGGGATTTGGAACATGCCTTTTACTTTCTCTAGATTCGGCTTTTGACAATAAGGATTCTAAACCACTTTGAGGTTCGACTTCCGGAACTAATGGAGGTATTTTAACTATTCAATTTGGATAACTTTTAAAAAATGTAATGTCATATATGTTTTATTTTCAAAATGATAATTTTGCAGAAAATTCAAACACTGTGTAAATATCTGTCATAAAAATTGAAAATTTTTTTTGTTATTCTTACACCTGCCCCCCAACAAGGCCACCACTGAAAATCCACAGATAATTGGTGAACATTCTTTCAGACTTTCATATGCACACATGTAATTTAAACAAATGGTGTCATGAAGGTTTTTCCATATCAGTACCTCCAGTTCTACCTTATTTTTTTTGAAGTTTGAATAGCAGTCCACTGATTAAAATATCAAGACAAACAAAGAAACAAAAACTCATAGACACAGACAATAGTTTAGTGGTTACTAGAGGGTAGGGGAGAAGGGGATGGTAGAACAGGGTAAAGGGGTTCAAATATATGGTGATGGAAGGAGAACTGACTCTGGGTAGTGAGCATACAATGTAATATATAGATGATGTATTATTGAAATGTACATTTGAAACCTTTGTAATTTACTAACTATTGTCACTCCAATAAATTTAGTTTTAAAAATATATCTTATTTAACCAATTCCCTGTTGATGGATACTTACATGGGTTGGCTACAGTTTTTCAGGATTTACAGTAATATTGCAGTGAACAGCCTTACACAGACATCTTTATATAGGGAAATATTTCTTAATGCAATTTATTACTTGAGGTAGAAATTACTTTTACTAGAGGTAGAATTGTATAGTGAAAATACATGTACATACATACACATTTCCTTTATTTCAACAGATGTCGCCAATCAATTTGAGTCATTTCTAGATACTAAACCTAAATTATCTGCCGGAAAGTAAATGGAGGAGGAAAAGTGAATCATTTACCCCCAAAAATGTGCTGTTTATTTAACCTAAAGCATTAGCATATTCCAGTTTTTATGTTTTTGACCTTTGGTCACGTTCATTTAGTGCTTTTTTGGAAATGAAAACACTGACATGCCTCCTTGGTTTTCTCGGGTTGTTCAGGATGACGGGCTCGCAGAGCGTCCGTCTGCCTTTGCTATATTGCGCCAGGCAGAACTTGTTCCGGCAACTGTGAATGATTACAGAGAAAAGCTCCTTCACCTGAGGAAACTAAGGCATGATGTGGTGCAGACTGCAGTCCCCGAGGGGCCGCTACAGGAGGTATCAAACACTGTCCACTTGTTTTTACTTTAGTTGATGCTTTAAGGTCTGTTTGGCTGGCTTTTGGAAAGAGAAGCACGCCGAGTGGTTGCCCCCAAAAAAAGAATTTTTAAAACTACCTAAATCCTTAGTTCTCTTCAATGCTTTGAGTTAAATAGCTCTGCCAGATGTTTCAACAGTGGAAATAATTTACTCTCCACCTTTGCCTGAATATGTGTGTAGTATGTGAAGGGTGATAGCAAGTGGCAACAGGAGGACTCAACATCAAGTTCAAAGCCTGATGTCTTCTGCAGTTTGTTCATTGCCGCAGGACGTCAGCCCTTTACCTTTTGTTTCAGGGGTTTTCTGTCTGTGACCCTTGAAGATACATCACGGATCACTTTGGGAGGAAGGCCACGTGGAGGCATTCCCATTGAGTCAGAGCAGCTCTGTTCTTACCCCGCTTTATGTATTGGTGTCCTCTGTTATGTTTCATTTGGAAAAGTGGCTCTGCTGCTAAGATAGTTACAACAGCCCACCCCCAAATAATAACACAACTACCATTCTACACAATGCCTCCCTAGCCCATGGGGACGCTAGTAACAACTGTTAGAGCTAAGGTCCCTTTCGCTCTAAAAAGGACCTTAATAATCACATAGAAAAGACCTGTGTTGTGCCTCATGTAGAAACCTGCCCTTCTGCAGATGTTTATTCTTCAGATGGTCTACTCTGGCTTTTGTCGGATTCGAAATTACATAATGTGTGGCCCCTCAAAACCATAACGATTAGTTCTTATTTGACAGAAGCAGAATAAACAAATCCCTTTCAGGAAACTTTAGACCCTCTGAACGGAGCTCCTTTAACGTGTAGTTTACAGAGCTCAGGCATCTGCTTGCGAAGCCACAGCTGCCATTCACAGCAGACTTGCTTGGGGTCTTTGGCATCTGTGCTTTACTGATTACTGTTCAAGTTTTGTCTTCTAAGGTGATGGCAGCGTTTTTAGGAGGGAGCTTAATCATGAGTCATATCTGTTTACCTAAACATATCCTTTGAGCGTGAACATCTGGAGTGAGTTTGAATACTGTGTTGGCTTTAGTGATTCTTCTGTGTTAAATAGCAGTTGACATTTTGGAGAGAGTTGGAAAATTATTAGTCACTAAATTTTGGTTTGGTACCTACAAATTTTTTCTTGTAGTACAAGCTTCTTTCCAAACCTTAGATTGTCTGAGGTGGGCTATGCACATTTCAGTGCTGCTCATTACCCATGTACTAAACTCATCTGTAATTGCAGGTGCCGCTTCGTTATTTATTAGGCATGTTATATGTGAACTTCAGTGCTCTCTGGGAGCCGGTTATTGAGCTCATAAGGTAAGCGTGGGTACATGGATGAAGCTATTACGTTGTAACTACTGCAGAATGATGGACTTAGTATTCTCCTCCTAGGTGTGACGTAAATGATAGGTATTTGCAGTATTTGTAGCTACCTTAAATCCTTCTGGGGACAATGTGAAGGAAAAGTAAACATTAATTCTTCTCTCTGATGCCAAGTTTTTCAACAGTTCAAATATTGTATGTGTGTTTTTTTGTACATTGAAATAACTTGGGAAGACCTTCCCTTTTTGCTTTATATGATACACCTGTATTGTTGAATTTTTTTTAGTAACAAAGTATTGTATAATAATTGGGTACTTTTATATATATATAGCGTCATTGAGCCAAACTTTAATTTTAAAATGAGGACTTTAAAACCCTTGCAGTCTATTATCCAAAGTCCCTTTAGCTCTAAAAAGGACTTTAATAATCACATAGAAAATATCTGTGTTGTGCCTCATATGTAGAAACCTGTCCTTTTGCAGATATTTGTTCTTCAGATGGTCTACTCTGGCTTTTGTTGGATTCAAAATTACATAATGTGTGGCCCCTCAAAACCCTAATGATTAGTTCTTGTTTGACAGAAGCAGAATATACAAATCCCTTTCCAATTTGGAACCAGTTTGCCATTTAATTGCCTTTCAAAGCCATCAAACCAGTATGCTGAAATCAAGGCCTTCTAACATCAACTTCGTGATTTTGTTCATTGCGCTTAAGGAAGAATCTGACGTGTGTTACAGTAGCCCAATATTCAAATTGTTAGCTCTTCAGTGACTGAGTACCTTTAATGCTCCTCCGGAGCTGGCTTCCTGTTGGGCACCTCTTTCTATGTAAAAATTGGTTAATTTTTACGTAGAGTCAACAGCATATGTGGAGCATGTCTTATGTAAAGTTTATGCCTATTCTTAGAAAATTAATGACAGAAAGAACATAAACGTTTTTGAGAATACTGTTGCTAAGATCAGATTATATGAACACTTATATGATTGATCTAATTTCTCTTCTTTAAGTCCTGAAAGGTGTGTTTCACGCAGTTGGTAAATATTTATTTTGCCTTTGTGTTAAGTGTATTTGAATTTGGCGGAGGAAAAAACGAACATTTTGAAGTTAGCTTTGAACAAACTGAGTTTTCTTTCTAAGCAGAGGCCTCTGCTTCCCTTAGTGGACCATCCCTTCTACCCCATGCCCCATTCCCATTATTGGGCCTTTAAAAATACTCTTCTTATAGGGATCAACTTAGGTTTTTAAAAATACACTTAGTACTTTATGGCTATAAAAACAATTTGTGCTTGGTGCAGGCATTTTGAAAAATACAGAAGAGTACAAAAGTTGTTTATAACCCCACATTCAGGGATAACTTAATTAACATTTTAGTTCTATCCTTTCACTTTTTTTTTTTCTGTGAAATACCTCAAACTAAGGATCCTATCTATTTTTATTTGTGATCTCTTAGTTCTCACGCACATGAAATGGAAAATAAGAAGTTTTGGAAAGTCTACTATGAACATCTAGAAAAAGCAGCTACACATGCTGGTAGGTAAAGGGTGTGAAGGGGGGCTGGGAAGAAAAGTGGTTAACTGTTTAATTTTTGCTGCTTAATTACACATGAAATTGGGAAACAGAAATGAGAAATGTGCTATCCCTGATAACTTTTGGATAATGGTTTATAGTTCCCTTATATCACTAGAGAAAGAAATGCCCTTACTTGCAGAAACACATAGGACACATGGTAACATTTCTCTAGTGGTTATGATGACTGTTTTCTCTTTCAGAGAAAGAACTGCAAAATGACATAAGAAATGAGGAGAAGTCCATGGGAGATGAAAGTTGGGAGCAGACTCAGGAAGGAGATGTTGGAGCCCTTTTTTTTGAGCAGTTAACCTTGAAAACCAACTGTCAGGAAAGACTGGACCACACCAATTTTCGATTTTTGCTCTGGCGAGCTCTCGCAAAATTCCCGGAAAGGGTAGAGCCACGGTCCAGGGAGCTTTCCCCACTTTTCTTGAGGTTTATCCAGTAAGTATTCTCTTCTAGTACTATGTTCCTGGTAGGGTATGAGAAAGAGGAGGTACAAAGTGTGAAGCGTCCAAGTTGGCTGAGTTCTTTTTGCTTCTGTCATGTTTTTGAATGATTGGCGCATCTATAAAGCACTGGGTCAGTCCGCTAACAACTAGACTAGTTTGGTTCACCACTTCACTTTACATGAATTTAACCAGCCCACAAATGGCGTTAATAAAAAATTCCAGGTTACAAAATAAGAAAGGCCATACTGAGTTAGCTCAATGTACAAAGACCTTGCTATTTCTTGCCCTGTTGTTCATTGTTACGTTGTCTGCCTGGGTCTTGAAAGTATTTTCCAGTAACTCCACCCCAGCCACTCTTGTTTTGAATCTCTTGAATGTTTCCCATGATGCTGAGGAATGTGCTCTCAAAAAACCACAGAAACTTTCTGGAGCATTGTTCTAATTTTCACTAGATATGCTGTGTGAGAGATTGCTTTTAAGACTCTAAAGGTGTAAAAGATGTGGTGAATAGAACAGTATAATTAATGAATAAATGTGGATTAACAATACTGTTTCATTACATGGGAAAATGCTGTAGCGTTAGGCTAAGCAGGCTAGGAACCACCACATACCAGTCTTGTTCATGGAACAGCAAGGAGGTCTGAGTGGCTACAGCGGTAATGGAAGAAAATAGTTGGAGATGAGGGCAGAAAGTTCACAGGAGACCAAGTTGTGTAGGGCCTTTAAGTGACAGAAGGTCTTTGGTTTTTACTGTTGGTGAACTGGGAAGCCATTGGAAGGCTTAAAGATAGGACGACATGACTTAAGTTTTCTCAAGGAGTTTTCCAGCTGCGATGCTGAGAATAGACGATAGGATGGCAGTGGTGAGAGCAGGCAGAGGGACGAGAGAGGAGAGGCTTAGGAGGAGATTGCAGAGCTCTGGGCAGGAAATGCTGGTGAGCTTGACCAAGGTTGTGGTAGTGCAGATAATGAGAGGTATTTGAATTCTGGATATTTTATGAAGGATTTCAATTCAATAAAATACATTTTTGAAGAATTGCAACCATATTAGCCTGCTGGACTTGCCAACAGGTCAGATGTGGCATGGCGGGAGTGAGGAGGTGCAGGAAGGAGAAAGGGGAGGCAGCAAGGATGGCCCTAAGGGTTTGACCTGAGTAACTGGAAGAAGAGAGTTACTGTTTACTGAGATGGGGAGAAATGCAGAAGGATGCAGATTTGTGGGGAAGATCAAGGATTCATTTTTAGACATGTGAAGTTTGGGAAACAAAATAGACGTTTAAGTAGAGACGTCAAGTAGGCACTTGAATGTGGAGCTTTAAGTTCCAGAGAAAGGTTTGGTGTAAAAATAATGCATTTGAGACTCATGAGTATATAGATGGTAGATGGTCTTTTAAATTATGGGACAGGGAATTACTGGGTTGTCGGAAAAGTCATAATTTATTTTTTTCTGTGTTTTTCATTGCAAAAATATGTCATGACTTTTCCGACAACCCAATAAATCACACCTGGGAGTGTAAATGTAAAGAAAGAAGATTACCAAGGACTGACAGCAATATTTAGAGGTTGGGAGATAAGGAACCAGCAAAGGAGGCCAGGAAAGAAGGATAGAAGAAGCAATGCTACTTAGTATTGCTTGAAGAAAGGACTTCAAGGAGGGAGTTGTTGAATTGTATCAAACGTGCCTGAAACAGTCAGATGAAGAATAAGAATGACCATTGGCTTTGGAAGTGACCTTCACGTGAGTTGTTTTGGTTAATTTGGTAAGGATGAAAGCCTGATTTAAATGGGTTGAAGAGATAATGGAGAAGAAAAATGGCAATAACAAGTATGAACAGTTCTTGGGAGATGTGGAATCCAAGAGGGAGCTATTGTCGGGGTTGCTATTTAACATTTAAGCAGCAGGTGTATATTTAGTACTGGTGTGAATGCTTCAGAAGGGAGAGAAAAATTTGTAATGTAAGAGGGAATATAATTGCTAGAGCCATGTCTTTGCGTACATAGTTACGAGGAGATAGGATCCCATGCATACGTGAAAAGGTTTGTGTGAATAATTCATTCTGGGAAAGGTTACAAGCAAAGATGCAGGCAGGTCAGTAGATGGTATGGCGGAAGAGTAATGATTTTCTCTTTTTGGCATAACGCTTTTGTCTTTATTTATAGAATGAGAACAGTGATACTTAGCTTCCTTGCCTTGTTTTGAAGATCAAGTAAGATAATGTCTGTCAGTTGTTTTGTGCATTGCAAGTACCCATGCATATGCAAGCTGGTATAATGGTGTTAGCAGGATATGAATTTCCTAACGTTAATTTTCTAAGTTTTTCCCTCAAGGAAGAAATCGATGACCCCTTAACCTAAGGATAAAGACCTTCCTCTAATAGTACCAGATACTGTGAGGGTGGAGATAGAGAGGAGCCTGGAACAGGAAGGGGGTCTCTGGGTTTTAAGAAGATACACAATTATTAAAAATGTTTAAGACTAGTTGACACTGATTACCTGTAATTAATGCTTTTATAGATGACCCAAACTAATGGAAAACCTCAATGTCACCTTTAATTCTGGCTTTGAAATACATTATGGGCTTTTAATTTTAATTTTTGGCTAGAAATTTATATTTCTAAGTATGTTTAAAGTAACTTAATATTAGAAGTAATTTGTGAATCCCTTGTAAACATTCTCTGAGAAGAATCAAGTCAGAAGCAGAAATGAATGGCTAACAATGGCAAAAACATCCCAGTAATAGGTGACAGTGACACTTAGTGAATGCGTAGACACTTGGAAGTGCTGTGTGTGAATTATTTAATAAATGAGTGAGCGAGCATGCTGTGCGTAAAGGTTAAAAGTATGTCGTGGTTAATTGAAGGTTGAGAGTATAATATGAATGTTATTAAATTGATGATGGTACTGTTTGTAAATGACAGAGCTACTTTGCTGATTTCATTTATTCATCCATTTTTTAAATGTATTAAGTGCCAGATCCTGCCCTGTGAGAGCACAAAGCTGAATTTGGCAGTGCCTCAGCCCTCCAGGTGTACTTTCGTGTATTAACCTGGAGTTTCTTCCAGGTGTGTTGGTAGCGTGCTATCCTAAACATGCTATTTTATCAGTATATTTTTCAGTGAGGAGTTTAATGTCTGATCAATTTCCTTACATCTGTAGCCCAGTGCCATGCATAAAACAGACAACAAAATAATAATTGTTGGATGAATGAGTTAAAGCGACACAAAACGAATGCAGTGAATGACAGTGACAGCCTTCAAGATAATGTTAGTTACCTGTAACAAGGGACCAAAATTAAAGGGATGGAATTCAGAAAGAACAAATGAGGATACCACCTGCAAATGCTTAGTTTAGAGGAGACAAACATAATAAGGCTTACTGGCTATTGCTTGGGCATTCAGTTTCTGTCTGTGTTATGTTGTGACTGCCCCCAGAAGCAATGGACGTGCTAGTTCCGTCTGTCTTATCAGACCATATGTGGAGGACTGAATTTTGTTACAGCAGCATATTTTTGAAAGGACAATGAATGTATCTGGTGGAACATGACCAACATGGTTTTTTGGGTTTTTTTTTTTCAATGTTAGGCCATGTGATTTATTTGGTAGTTTTGTGAACAACATGCTCTTAATGTTACACTTTCATTATTTCATATAATGCACCCCAACACCTGCCTCCGCCAGTTGTGTTTCCAGAGACAGGGAGGCTGATTTCAGTTCAGTCCAAAGCAGACCTTTCAAATATTTCCAACAATGGGAGGATGGAATGGTCTGTCTTCTCCACTTAGCGACTGACTTGTCCAGGAGGGGACTTCAGAGGGGCTGACTACAGGACCAGACGCTGTGGAAGTGACTTGCCAAGGCGCCTTTGATGTCTCGAACATGTGGTTCTGTGAACTGTGGACGTAAGCCTCACCAACAGAATTAGGACACCTCAGCTTCACCTGTCGTCTGTCACTCTTTCCACTGCAGCAACGAGTATTACCCGGCAGATCTGCAGGTTGCTCCAAGCCAGGACCTGCGAAGAAAAGGCAGAGGGGTGGCAGCAGAGGACAGAGAAGAGGAACCTGCTGCTGGAGACGATGACGAGGCGGAGGAGGAGGGGGTGCCCCAAGATGAACCCTCCCCTAAGAAAAGGACGAGAAGAGCTGCCGCAAAGTAAGTTCAGCCTTGCCAGCAGATCTCAGATCCACGGTTTTAGGAAGAATGGGAAGGAGCCTGTTTATGGCCCTAATGGGAAATGGCCCTCGATGGGATGAACTGCTCACCCAATTATTTACATAAGTGCTGTACCCTCCGGGAGTTTTCTTTTATAGCCCAAAGAAAACTCAATTTTCTAAGTTTTTAGGTTTTCACCACAGAGTGTTGGACTTGGCCTTATCATAGCTCCTGTTTACGCATGCTGCGGCCCAGAGCGATGACATAACCCGTTGACCTTTGTCGTCGCTTTTCATGGCCCGTGGTATTACGTTTGTGTGCTAGGCGAACACGTAATGGAACATCTTTGCTCTTATAAATAAGCGTGTCAGCACTTTTACTTTGCCTTTTGACTTATCTCCAGGTTACTTTTTTTTTTTCATGCTGTTATATTTAAATAAATATATTTCCTACTTTCTGGGTAATTCATTTACCTAAATTGTTAGAAGCCTTAGAAAAAGAAGTGATCATGCTTTTAGAAGTTACTCCAGCTTACCCGTCTGAATTGGGGTGTCAGATCTACTGGATCTGGTGCTGCTGGGTTACTGTAACGCCTGGGATCTCAGATAGGCCCCTTTGTTGAGTTTTTCCCACGAGCCATCTATTTGTTCATCCATTCAGCCGCTGTATTGAGTGCCTTTTGCTAAGTGCTGGGCTACAAAGATGGGTGGTACCTAGTGTCTGCAATGCAGGAAGCACGGTCTAATGTGAAATATTTTTATACAGGAAATACTTTTAAAGGAGTTATGGGAGCACAGTAAAAAAAAAATAAATAAATAAAAATGACCTAATTCTACCAGAAAGAGAAGGCTTTTAGTAGGTAGAAGGCACCTTTGAAGCCAGCAGCTCGGGCAGGGAATGACTTGCCAGCCATTGGGAATAGTGTACAAAGCACAAGGGCAAGAAAGATCATGGCCACACTTCATGCAGACTCGTTCCTTTTCTGCTTCCACCTTCTCCTTCTCGCAACTCTAACTGCTTCCTCCGAGACAAAGATTGCTGTTTTCTTCTTCATATCCTTCAGCATACTAGCTCGCGAGAGATTAGTCCTCGTGTTTGACTGTTGAATAAATAACCTATTTTTCCAGTCATGCCTCTTCCTTTCTCACCCCTGAACTTTGTGCTGTGCCCATCCCTCTTTCTGCGGTGCCCTTGCCTCATTTCTGCCAACTGAAATTCTGTTCCCACTTCAAGGCACTATTCCCGCGCTGCTTCCTCACTGAGGCTTTCCTGTCTTTTAAAATGCAAGTCATCTTACTCAAAACTTTCATAACAGCCACCTAGACCTCTATCATGGTGCTACTCCTTGCCTTGATGGTAATTTTTTATAGATCTTCCATGAAAATCAGGAACTCTTATCCTTAAAGCTCCATGTCTGAAATAATTCTTCTGTCCCCTGTAGCCTAACCTAGACTATTGCTAACGTGCACATGATGGAAAATGGGAGTAAATTAAAAAGCACGTCCTTGGTGCCATCTCAGTGTAGTCATAGTCCAAGTTTATGATCCTTCATGGAACGTGCTTCTCACTGGCAAGGATTAATGAGAATGTGTAAATTGGCTGCTGTTCTCTTTGGCTCTTTAAGGCTATGTGGCACATAAGAAATGCTTAATAAACATTGGGGGAAGGAGTGGATATTGAAATAGAAACTTTTAAAAATTTGTTTATTAAAGTGTAAGGGCTCAGTGATAAGTAATTACAAGGACACTGCATCCGCCAGGGCTCTTTAGAGAAACAGAACCGATAGAATGGAGGGGTGTGTGTGTGTGTGTGTGTGTGTGTGTGTGTGTGTGTGTGTGTGTGTGTGTGTATTTTTTTACGTGTTAAGAGATTAGTTTTAAGGATTTGCAGGGCAGGACAGCAGGCTGAAACCTCAGTTTTTGTTCTTAAGGCCTTCAGCTGATTGGAGGAGGCCCATCCACATTGTTGAATATTAAATAATCTCTTATTTAAAGTCCACTTATTATAGATGTTAACAACACCTATAAAATATTTTCATCACAACACCCAGATTAGTGTTTTAGTACATAGGTGATTACTCGAACTCAGCCAAGTTGACACATAAGACTAACCATCACAGACATTTAAGCTAAACATAAGTAGTAATGCTACCCTTCCCCTATTTCTCTGTAACATCTGAAGAGGGCATAATTTCCAACTTATTTTCTCTATATTAACTAGGAGGACTTTCACAGTTTTGCTTTCTTTTGCCCAAGAGCAGAGAAATGCATTGTTTGCTAAATTCTTAGGAGCAAAGGCCCCACAAGTTACATTCTTTCATTTAATCCTCACAAGAGGTCTTGTCCTTGTCAAGATGAGGAAGCTGAGCATCTGAGACATTAATTAACTTTCTCCAAAGTCACACGGCTCAGAATGACAGGACCTTCCTTGCCTCCTGGTGTCAACCTTTCTTCACTTCTCCCTGCATATATTCTTGAAATAGGCAAGTGAAATCTCTCCAAATCTTAACATTTTAGTCATTAACGTTCCTTTAAGTTCTAACATGTCTTACAAATTATACGCACAGAGAAAACCGTTTTCTCAAGTATTTCTAAAACCTTCAAGTATGGAGTAGGAAGTTGAGTGAGTAAAAGCAGTAGGCGCTCTCTGGGTCTGCTTTAGTACATGATGTAATTTGCCCTGAAGCAGTCCCCTCTCCAACTTCAACTTTCAACCACAGAATTGCTCTTTCTTCCTCCTTCCTGGTAAGCAAGAGCCATGGTTACCTAAACTTGGACCCCTGGGGCCTGACGTCGGTATTTGTTATATGAAAGTGAGGAAGAATATGTTTTACCACTTTCCTGTTTGCTGCGAAGAAACTAGACAATGTATTACTGTTTTGATTACTTTCTACTTTTGGCTTCATTTAAACCATTCTAAGCACATTCTGAATGATTTTCTGGGTTGGGAACCTAGATTTCAGGGGAAGGCTTGTCTGAGATTTGGAATTTCTGGAGAATAATTTCCTAAATGCAAGTAATTAATAATTATTTGTATAATTAACAGTGAAACTATAGTCAAAGTTTTTAGAATAATTGTCAGAGACTGAAATTGATGGGCACTATTATCTTATGAAAATAATCTCTGTTCTGTAATTCTGTGGTAGTCTCTTTCTTTTTAAATTTTTTTAGGCAGTTAATTGCTCATCTACAAGTTTTCTCTAAATTTTCGAATCCACGGGCCTTATATCTGGAATCCAAACTATATGAGCTGTATCTTCAGGTAAGTACAATAAATTCTCGCCACTGCAATTCTTTGTGAACTGTTCTTTACCATTTTCTTTGCCAAAATATTTTTTAGGTTTTTGATGATTGTTGAATAGAGCCCATGTCTACATTTTAGGTATATACAGAGGGTGCTAAAAAAAATGTATACACGTTTTAAGAAAGGAAAAACTATTGAAATTGTAATAGTGTGTACCAATACCAAAAGATGAATACGAGTCACGTTTGACTTCTGCAGTAATAAGAGGTGCTCAAAGTGGCTACCATCAGCATCCAGACACATCTGATTATGGTGAACGACTGCTTG